TTGAAATTAATGTGCTTTAGTTTTGGGCTTTTGACCTATGAATTCCTTTTACGCTGTGAAATGAAATTTTATGTATCAATGTCACTCCAAAAGTATGTCTTCATCCAACTTGAAAGCTATATATATTGTGTGCGTTAATAATTAGGCTTATCCCATTTCTTTGAAATACAAATTCATGTAAAATTGGCCCAAAGGTATGCTCTCATCCAACTTTGAAAGAAATTACTTTGCTGTGGCTTGATGCCTAGGGTTAGCCAAGTTCTTCTAAATATGCAGTGGAGGAAATTTTTATCGACCGAAATTTGGGAACTCTTGCTTTCTTGGACAGTGTAATTATCATTATGTTTTTTAAAAATTATTATTATTATTTTTTTATGAAAAACCACGCTTTTAAGAAGAACGAAAGAATGCAAAAGGGTATATAAAAAAATAGCACACCAGAAGGAACCAAACTAAAAGAAAGGCTCTAATCTAGCAAGACGAAACCTAATAGGATCACTATGTTTAGAATATATTTTTTAGTATATGATAGTTTCGGAAGTACTTCTAACCGCTCTTACTTGGTGTTTTTTAGTTTGGTAATGTCATAATGTATATCCCAGTTGGTCTGAAAGTATATCTAGTGCCATACGTGGTTACTTGCAACGAAAAACTATACTTTGGAATATTGGACAACAAATTTCTAGTTTAAAAATTTAAAAGTAATAGGACGGGATAACTTTTATTTATTTATTTATGTATTTGTTTTTTATTTTAACAATAAATTAAAGGAAGATTTTGTTTTTAATCTCTCTGCAGGGACTCCGTGCTATTAATCTGGGGGATAGTGGGTTCATAGTTATAAGAGATGGAAGCACTATTTTCAGATCTCCGGTTCAGCAACATGGCTTCAATTTTACTTATCAGTTGGAGTGCGGCAACGGTGGTGACTTACCCAGCTCTGGAGAGGTCTGCGAATTATCTTTTTGCACTTTAATGTTGCTTACAGCATAAATATCTCTACTCTATGAGGAATGGTGATTCTAGGCTTTTGTCGCTGCTTCTAGTTCAAAGATTTCAATCGAGGTTATCAATATATACTTGATCTGTAAGAAGCTGAAACAATTCTCATCTTCCTGACACCATGGTGCGGGCAGTAGTATGGAACTTCAGTAGGAACGTGAACTAACCATAGGGGATCCAGCGTTTCCCTTGTTCCTCCAAAAGATTTTCGTACTTCAACCCCAAACTGGCATAAATTGTCGAATAAGATCACATATTTGTAGTTATGGACTACTATTTCCTCTTGGTTTGATGATGATAACTTATATCTATCTATGTAATACACTGAAGAATCTTTTTCTTCGATCCTTATGGACAGGTTTTCACTATACCTGTTGCACCAGGGGATGTTGTAGTTGCTGGAACGGATGGATTATTCGACAATCTATACAGTAATGAGATTGCAGCTGTTGTAGTCAAGGCTGTTAGAGCTGGCCTGCAACCTGGAGTAACTGCTCAAAAGATAGCGGCTTTTGCACGCCAGAGAGCAGAGGATCGGAACCGGCAGACCCCATTTTCTGCTGCTGCTCAAGAGGCCGGTTATCGCTACTATGGTGGTAAGCTAGATGATATCACTGTTGTTGTCTCGTATATATCTCGTTCCACAAATATGTGATTTCTCCCCTATCCTGATCTGCGACTGAGCCCCAATTAAGTGCACTCTATCTCTTTGCAATCCGACCCGAATCAAGTTGCATTTTAGCGTAACTTAATGGGATTGAGGTTTGAAAATCTTTGGTTCCAATGTTCCCATGAAGTGCGGTTTACGAAGCTGCAAGAGAATGGTATTTTCGTCCATCATAGCACGACTTCTCTGTGGTTTCTGTAAACTCAAACCTTTTGGCAAATGATAGATGCAACTTATGAATTTTGAATTGAAGAAACAACAGTAGCATTCCACTGATTGCTGCAATTTCGTGTTCTCGCTATTACTCATTAGTATTGTTCTTTTGAGTCTGCCAGTGTTGTGGACAATTTTTTTTACAGGGTCGTGAAATGGATATGGGTTTCTCAGTAGTCAAAGGAGGTAGTTTGCAATTCATTAGCCAAAAATTCATGGGTTCCTACCATTATGTAGGTGCCTCTGCCTATAACATAAAAGGACCATACTAAGTTTTTGAAATTTAATATTTTAAGTCATGTAGCTGATTCATGAGATTTTTCTGATACTCACGATTTTTTGGTTGAAGTTAAGCATCTGTCAAGCTGAACAGAACTAACCAAATCGAGCTAGTTCAGTTGTCTGAACAATACTACAGCTTGATTACTGAGTTTGGTGGTTGGTTTTTGATCTGTTAATTTTGTTGGTTGGTTGTTTTTTTTTTTTTTTTTATAAAATTATGTTTTGACATTGCCTTTCCCCTTTTCTTAGATAGGGATGCGTGACAGTTTTTGCCAAAAAATGATTTGAAGTATAAGTTGAATTACAAGTTTAATTCATGAACTTTTAAAGTTGTGTCTAATAAATTTTTGAATAAAAGTATCTAACAAACAATAGGTCTTAGACAATTTTTTAAATTTATAGATCTATTGACAATTTTTTAAATTTATGATCTATTAATATAGATTTCACTTTTTTATTACTTTTTTTGGAAAGCAACACACGTCCAACTTTTGAGTCTAATAAGTATGTGAATATTAAAAATATCAAATAAGTTAGGGCTTTGGCAACATAGAACTTTGGCAACGTTCTTGTTTCTTGTTTCTGTTTTTTTTTTTAAATTTTTAACACTGTTTTGATTGTATACAAAATTTCTATACAATTTTAGAATGTTTCCTAGAAATAAGAAACAATAAATATAATTAGTTGCAAAATGTTTAGGTTTCTTAATAAAATTTAGAAATGAGAAACAAGAAAGGGAAAGGAAACATTATCAAATGGTAATGGGTCTTTAAAGACAAAATTGAAAATTTTAGGATTTGGACACTTTTAAAGTTCAATGACTTAGTTTAGGAATATGTTAGAAAATTTTTAAATTTTAAGGACTAAACTTGTAATTTAACATTGAAAATGAAAAAATAAAATTAAAATTGTTGTCATAACTACTTTCACCGCCATTTTTATTTAATATAGGTAACTCTATTTTTATTGTTTTAAAAAAATTTTAGATTACACACCACCCTTAATATTAAATTTGGGGATGACCTTTTATGTTCCAGAACATCAGAATTTTAGGAAAATAAATTTGGCGAGTTTTTTAATAAAATCAAACAATTGTCAAATCGAGCATAGCTCAAGTGGTTAAGGTACATATCTTTGACCAAAAGATCATGAGTTCGAACCTCCACCTTTACATGTTGTACTAAAAAAAATAATCAAACAACTAAAATTGAGAATGATGATCTACAAATGGATTTTAGACATTAAAAATAATTTAATAAGATTGAATTCTGAAGTATTCGTGTAACTAGATATTTGATAGATAAGTCTATAGTCTGTAAATGTTAATAGGGTAAATAGAAGTTTGATTTCATAATTATGAAGTTATGCAACCTAAGTCTATATATTTGGTGGATTAACTGATTATAACTCGAGATAAGTAAATCCGTTTACCAAATACAAACTCAAATTCTTAGTTCTAAGTTGAATTCACGAGTCAAACAAAGTTTTAAAAATAGTCACATAAAATTATAA